GACGAAATCCTGCAAACTATGGACACGATTTTGGGATAAACCACATGATAGCTGGATTTTGTCCATGCACAGTATGGGTGCGTATTTGAGGGTACCCCTTTTTATTGGTAGGTGTTAAAGGGAACCGACAGGAACACCTTCATTTTTGGGACCTTTCTTTTCTGAGTTGATCAACACTTTTTGTACGGGCAATGGCTGGCCGTTGCCAGATACTGGAGTTCGTCGTTCCGCACAATTCGCCCTGCTGCTGAGAAAAAGAAAAGGTAAAGGTCCTAAGGAACTCACTCCCAGCACTTTATATACTTTGTGGCAAGATCATGTTATTTGGCTAATTCAAGAACATCAATCCACTTACTTGCTGAGGAACAGATTCAGTTTTCCTTATGCTGCCTAGTTATAGCACATTCAACATCCACATAGTTGTATTTGTTCAGGCTTCAACGTATTTGCTTTCTTTGATTCTTCGTTCACCCCACACGTGTCCACTCCTGCCTCCTTCTTTGTTTGACGGCCGCATCATCCTAGTCCTTCTTTTCACACGGTTGCATATGGAAATGAAGATAGATCAATCTACATAGATGAGGGCGTACCCAAGACACTTGATTTAAAGGGTTGGTCTACATCAGGATTTGTATCGACAAAAAATCGAGATTCTCCTGTAAGTAGCCTTTCTATTCCCGAGTTCCTTGCACAGCCTGATTTGTCAACGGTCAATGCAGGGACATGGGGGGACACTTTCATGCTCAGCATCTGTGGATGCCTAGACCCTCAAAACGATTGGGATTCACTCCCTACTTTCGCGGCAATATCTCATGTTTAAGGTATTTTGAGGGTGCAGGGATGTCCTTTTTGAGCATACATATTAATACATATATATATATATACACACATGCAAATGTTAACCGCATGCAGGAATATATGCATACATTCTTTTAGCCCTAGCTTCTCCCATTCAGACCCGTATTTCCTGGGCACCTTACTGGCACCCAAGGGACTCCCCAGAAAACTGGAAGCAAACGCTAATCAATTCCAAAGTCAAAGCGAGCTCGAGGAAGATCAACTTAAACTCAAGGAACACCTGAAGAATCCACAGGAACACCCACAGAATCCCCAGGAAAACCCACGAACCCCCCCCAGAAACCCCAGAAAACCCGCGAAAACCCCTGAAAAACCTGAAGGAACTCCAATGAGACTGGCAGCTCCAGGTGGCCCAGAGCGACTTTCTCACCAAGGCCATGGCGGATTCCGCGCCCAAACCCCGGCCCAAGAAGGAGAGCGCCCCTCGGATCAATGCGCGTGGGCCAGTAGGGAAGAAACGCGCGCAAGTGGCTGTGGGTCAAAAATGGGTAAAATGGACCCCAGGTAAATGGAACCAAGGACTAAAACCTGGTCCCCTGGTGGTTAAATTTTGACCCATAACCAAATGGGGGGGTCCTGGACCCTCCAACTACCCGGAAAATGGGAGTTCGCCCCAAGGGCTATAACCAATTTTTGAAGGCACTTTTGAGCGTTCAGGTTGATCAAAAGGTCCGATGAACATGCGGTGACAAGGGAAACCACCAATGAAATTTAACTTTCAACCGCTAAATGGGACAAGTTGTCCAAGGTCCTTTTGGTGCCAGGAATAATGATCAACCCCCAATCCCAAAGTACAAATTCTTTATGGCTAGTTGGTTGGAGCTTTGGACTCTATCTTCTTTGACTTTTTGGTTGAAACAGCTCGGATTGTCCATTCAACCCATAAAAAGTGATTCACTGTTCGCGAAGAATTGCGATGGCAAAGACACAAATTACAATAGGCACGTTTTATTGGCACGTTACTAATCGCTGACCCGGATCATGACTAAATGTGGTTTTCAAGCACCCCAAACCCCCATTCTATCTATTCAGGCACTGCATTATACTCTCACTGCGCCGGGAGGGATCTGGTTAAAGGAGTCGAACACGCCGTTTGTGGAGATGTTGAGATTTCAGTTGAATTGGGTTTAAGTGCTATTTGTGCTTCTATAGAGATGTACATCCGTGCCTTTATGATCTTGGAATAACCTGCCCAGAACTCATCAAGCTGTGAGATGTTGCTTTCACGCTCCGTTCAAGAGCGTTCTTGCAGGCCCCGAGCTGTCCTGAATTGGGTGCGGATATCCGCCTTTATAGTTCTTTGCATTTGTTTGGGTAGGCCATTGTAGTACCGGGCTTTGATTGTGACTCGTGTGTCTTTGGCAGAAATCGTTCCACTAACTCATCCACAAACGCATCCGGTGCAAGCAGTGCATAGGCTGGGAAGTCATCCTTGAGCAACCTTGACAGCAGCGCACCTTTACACCCTTGCTGACGGCTCAATAGTTGACATGGATCAAGCTCCAAGTTGAGACTTTGATCTGAGGCTTTCTGATGCTGATGACTACAGAAACGTGAAGATACAACCTTCGATTGTGTTCCTTTCTTCAGCATGTCGTGTATGTCTTCAAAAGCACGCCGGATTCCTGGACGACGGTCCTATTGGGGTTCATTGGGTTGCTTCACCTGTAAGGAAGGGCAGACGCCATGTCAAGAAAGCAACTGCTGCAAATGTCCAACCTTGTCTCAGCTTCCAGTGTTTGGAAGTATTCTGTTTCGTAGGTAGACCAGACAGGCACTTGGTGTCCTTCGAGAGCTCCCAAGAAGGGTAGGCTTGGTTAGTGCAGCGTTGCAGCATGGCAGATTGGAGTCAGATGCCACAGAGCAGGCTGACTGTTTGCTTGCCAATCCGCGCGTCTTCGGAAGCTTAGGAAGTGGACTCCGACGGGGAGGAGATCCACCTCTGCAACCAATGTGGGCTGCCAGTGGGCGAGACGGCCTACCGCCCGGAGGAGAAGGCCCGGCCGGGGACGAAATGGCGAAATGGGGTTGGCAGGAAGCAAACGCGCCTCACCAAAAAGCGCCTCTTCAGCAGGGTGCAGGCTCTCAAAAGTATTTTGTGAATGTTCGAGGGTGCCTCATTTTGGGATGGTTGAAGTGATAAACACCTATCTTTTTTTGGGATACCCTTAGAGTGCCGTTCTTGCCTCCCAAATGCGGTTAGAGGGAAGCAGATATATTTGTGGATGGCCGGCTTGGCATCATGCTTCGCACCTTATTTGGCAAGTTCATGCAGACTCTTGTGGCTTTCCTTCGGCGAACTCCTCAGTGTGTGTGTGTGTTTGCTTGCTTGCTTGCTTGCTTGCTTGCTTGCTTGCTTGCTTGCTTGCTTGCTTGCTTGCTTGCTTGCTTGCTTGCTTGCTTACTTGCTGGCTGGCTGGCTTGCTTGCTTGCTTGCTCTTGTGTGTGTGTGTGTCTCTAAACTAGAGACCGCTACGCCCATTTGATGGCTATCTTTACGTTCTTTAGCGTGCAGCATGCGTTTGTTTTCGGACTCACTTTGAACGGGGGACCGTAAATCTCGAGTTACCAGGATCCCAAACAAGCAACTCACTCCCTGAGTTCCTGAGAAGCCAAAGAAGAACCACCACATTTTGGGGTGTCATTTAGAGGCAACCTCAAGCCTGTCGCCCAGGACCATCGACTGGTGCACGCAGAGTGCATGGCACAGATCGTGCTACAGGCACGCACTCGAGCGTCTCCGCATGGCTGCCATCGTCACAGACCTTGGAGGTGTTTGGTTGGGCTTTGGACCCTTGTGGCAAACGGATCTTCCTTTCATTGGCTCAGGATTAGTTGTTTCCCCACTGGTGTTGAAGGCACAACTGGTGAATACAGCACGCTGTATAAGAAATCGGCGGGTCGAGACTCGGAGCCATTGGAGGTAATTTGTGTTCGTCCATGTGTTTTGTCAGACAAGTTTGTTAAGACATTGGTACTGGTTGGCACATCTCAGCTCCTTAATTTCTTATCCAATGATGTCTGATCCAATGCTTGCGTTGCATGCACATTCTGGGTTGTACGTTGAGGAAAGGGTGCTTTGGGCTGTGATAGGGTCAGCGTGACATTACTCACACGTGTGGTTCTCAATTCACTGGTGTCTGCCCAATTGTCTCGCGTCCTGAGCTGAGGCAACAACCCCATTGCCGGATTGTTTTTGCGCAACAGGGGCTTTTGAAGATGGCTGAATCATTGAATGGCACAATTGCGTTGTTGGTAGAAAGCTGTAGGCTCGTAGGGCGTAGGGTTTCCACAATATATATATATATATACACATACACATGTAGATGTATATACGTAAACATATATATATATATGTATCCCACAGAGCTCAGCAACCAGCGCACGAATACGAGGGGACTTCTGCGCATCTTAACTTGGGCGACTGACTGCCAGCTCCCAATCTGTTGCTCAGTTGCTTCTTGGCTGCCAGGAAGCGCAGGACAAGGATGACAAGAGCGCTGAGGAGCAGAGGACCGAGACAAACGAGCATGTTCATTCGGAAGCCAAAAGGATCATCTCTTGGAAGAGGGTTCCGTCAGAAGAGTGGTTGGTAACTATGGTACTCATTCTACATGGTTGCATGTGTGGGCACTTTCCACGGTTCGCTGTCAGAAGGTTCGACCCTGGGTTGAAACAATCCAATCTATGCGAGCTTGCTAGGGTCCGTACCTTCAATCAAGGGAGGGTCCCGTCTATGTTCCCTTTGTCGACACTAGGGACATAATGCATGACGAAGCAGCCCACCCAGTGCTTCTATATATGGGGGGTTAAAGCAGTGTGGACTATGGCACATCCGAAGGTTGTTGTCCTCCACTCCCTGAAGTGGATAGAAAGCATGCCAAACGAAGAGCCTTAGCGACCTCATGCGCTTACCTGCTAGACTATTTCAGGAAGCACGCTGGGCAACTTCAGTATGACACCTGTTCCCACTTGCTGACTGTTTCTGAGCAACGACATCGTGCATGTCGGCAAGTTCCCGAGGATGTTTTGATTTGTATGCGTCCGAACTTCCGGCGCCATTTTCGTGGATGGCTATAGAACGAAACCTTTGAAAGCCATGAATAGAAAGGAAAGGGGGTTTTGTAGCTGGTAACACCTAGACTCACGCAGTTTCTTGGAAGAAGGCTCCGGGCCCCTTGAGGCCCGGATTCCGACAGGCCAGGGTTGCTCCGAGCCAGCTTGTCGAAAGTCGGTGAGGTTTTCTTGGGTTTCATTTTTCAGGAACTCATGTCTTAAGCATCTTGGGCCCTCAAAACGGCCCTTTTCGAGGTCCAAAACCTTCCAAAGGAGACCCTGACCCCTTCAATGGGCCCAATGATGGTTCGGGTGATTCAAACCCTGGATTTCGGAGCACTGATTCTCTCGTGTTCCAGAAGTCCCAGCTGGGTATTGCGTTAACGCCCCCAACTGGTGTTTGCTTGTTGTAGTCCATGGATCAAGTTGCCTCCAACGGGTTCCTTTTGACACATTCAGATTTGCAGGTACCCTCCACCTCCTTTACGTGGGCGGCCCACGTTTGCTGACGCCCCCTTCTGAACCGACCCGGTTGTCAGAAAAAGGAACAACAGTCTCCTAGGGATTCGTTTGGGTGTCTTCCTTTATAAACGGTCTGCACATCGGGCCTGTGGCCTTGTGAAGGCAGAAGAAGTTGGAGAACCGTCTGGAGTATCAGATCGGCTGGCGTCCGGAGACGGCCGCTTCGCTGAATCAAAAATGTTCAGCGGTGTTCGGTGGATTCCGCGTTTGACAAAAAAAACTCACCAGACAGAAGAGGAAGCGATCGCCATCCCGGACACCCCAGTAGGGCCCAAATCATGTCACACATTGGGACATTGCTCCTGGTATGATCATGACTGAATTTGGTTAGACACCCCCTCACGATTCCATTCTCGTTGTTTGGGTATTTCCTTTTTATATGGTACCCTATGGTACCCCTCTTGGGATGGTGTTAAAGGGGCACAAGAGAAGAAGCAACAATTTGTCGGGCCCAAAAATGAGATACTCCCATCGGCCACAGTGCCCGAGGTGCCCAAGAACAGCACCATCGCAGAGAAGCTGGGATGCTCACCCTTGCCACAGGGCCTCTGCAGCCGCTGAATCGCAAGAGCCGCATGCCTCGCCGGTGTGTGTGTAGATACTCCTTACACAAGCGCTTGGGTAAACCAGGGTCCCTCAAAGGATACGTTTGGGTCAGTGCAACAATCACTTTTTGTTTCCAGCTTTAAGCGATGCCCATCCCTTAAGAAACCCTGGTCAATGACCACAAGGCTTGATGACATTCATGCCCTGTTTGCATAAGGGTGGTTTATTTATTTCTGATAAAGTGATTTGCAACAAGAACGCCAAGGGGTATTCTCATGTTTAATAAACACACGACTTGACATGTTCCTTTGCCAGATGTTCAACTGTCCGTATAGAGTGCAACACATATGTATACACACCAAGCGGGGTCCCTTTCTCGTGCCGCCTTGTGCATGGATGAGTGTGGCTCACTGACTAAGGAACCCTATTCTGTTTGAACACAGTAACAGTCTACGTGGATTGCTTTGTATAGCTCGAAAATAACAAAGGCTCAAAATGGGGCCTTGGTGATATCCTGTTGGTTCGTGGCTCCTCTGTTTCAACATAGACACGGATGCAAGTTGGCATGTTTCCCACTCACCGATGTGTCCTTTAGCTTACAAAGATTCATTGATTCTTGACGCAGTCTTTCCCCGAGGCTTGGTTCTGGACGAGGCTTCGCGCACAGCTTCTTGGCAATGAGAGGAGGTCTCAGGATCATCAACCCCCAGGACGTGAATGTCTCAGCAGGGCTTATTTACGGAAGGGCTACTCCCTTTTTAGCAGGATCATAGCGAGGGCTACAGAATCCTCTACAACCAGTCCTTTTGGTTTGAAAAGGCAAGCTGAGGTCGCAAGCTGAAGCTGCTCGAGGATTCGAAGAGTTGTTTCGGTTCTATCCTTTGCGTTGAAGCCTAAGCTTCCAACATTTGGACCATGGGCTTTCTCCTGGACACCATTTGAGATCAAATGAGAGTCAGCGAAGTGCTAAGAGGCCTCTGTCCCTTAAGATGTGGCTCACACGGTAGACGTGTGCATTGTGAGGGTACACCCACCGCAAACCACGGGGTTTCTTCTGTTTACAGCCATTGAATCGCTTGCTTCAAATGGATGTTTGTCAAAGACCAACACTTTTGCTGGATTGTGAAGGTACACAACGAGTTGCCCATTTGGGACCCCCGACATGGTGGTTTCCTTTTGGGTCTCCAGTAGGCCCTTGAGGCAACTCCAAATGATACCCTCACTTTGGCTACGAGCACAAGAGCGGTCGAAAGTTCCCATCCAGCTTCAGAACCAATAGTAGTGTGCTTGGACGAACTTCAGATCACCTGCAACTCAGTTTATCGTCTGGTCTGTATAAAATCCTAAATATCTAAAGGGACAAAGGTCACAGATTCAACGGTATCCATTCACTCCCCCTGCAGCCAAGGATGAATACCGTGCCGCTTAAGCAAAACGAGCCGCTGATAGTTCCAAGCCAGAATCTCAGATTGTGTTATTTGAGGTTTTACAACTTGTTTGTTGGACTTCTCCTTGAACAGAGTGGGCTTTCCTCCAATCCTTCTTTGAATCCCTCATCCATATTGAGGATACGATTCACGGTAAACATATGTTTGATCTTTCCAGACCCAAGCCAACCTAGAAACTACCCTCAACTAAAGACACACATAAGATCCATATGGGTATGTCTCAAACCTTTGAGTTCACGCGGCTTGCGGAGCACACACAATCCCGTCAAGGCTAAGGATGGTTGTCCATACTGTGGATGGAGGAAACCCATTTCGCATCACCTAAGAAACCCTGGAATGCAGATTCGATTACCATATAAATACCGACAGACGTTATGGTTTTCGGGCTTTTGAAGGCGCGAAATTGATTTTGCAACCATCCACAGTAGTTTTCGACCCTCCTTTGGGCTCCCAAAAAACCCGCGACGTCGAGCCGTCCCTAGGTGCGCATCGCCTCGACTTTGGAGCCGTCGGCGGCGGTGAACCTGGAGTACCTCATGCTTTGCCTCAAGGCCTTCGGATGCCCCAAAAACGCCATGTTTGGAGTTTCCCTTGAAGGCCTTCGACCCAAGGAATCGGGTTTTACCGGGCAAGCCACACACACATTGCTTTTGGCTATTGCAGACGATTCGATAACCTGGTTTGATCGAGTGCATGAAGAGTGTTTTTGCTGATTTCAGCGAATCTTTGAAAGGCTCAGCGCCCCAACGGACAAATGGGCGTGCCTTTGGTTTCTAGATCTTCTTGGGCTGGGCCAAACAGAAGCTGTCTGGGTAGGTTCGGTCAAATGATCTGGGATCCGAATGGGGCACTTGCCCAAATTTCACACTCAATTCACTGAACACGGAGGCCTCGCTACTTTCCATGTTCGTTTCTGGTAGCAACATGGTATTGGCTGGTCCACGCTGTCAAAAACTAGCTACTTTGGGCCCGAGTAGTTCTTTTATAAAAGCCCCTGAATCCTTTTCAGAGAGCCATGGACACAGGCCGAACATTTGCGTCATTAGCAATTATAGATGGCACATCCGCCATTCCAATGGCCGGCCGTGTTGGTTTCCTTGCCACTATTGAGCCGGGGGAACAAAGTTGTGAGAGACACCATGTTCGTATGCTTGGGTCTTGAGTTTGCATCTGAAGGAAACCTCCATTTTCCTAGGCCGGTTCTCTTGGTTACAGTGCCCAAAACCCGCAAAGCCCCAAAACTTCACGCCTCGAAGCCCTGGGTTCCGATTGGATTCCCGGGATCTGCGGTTTTCGATTCGCTGGGAAGGTGCGCCGCACCGCCTGCCGCGAGCCCCTCTTCTCGCTGGATCCGGCGCCTGGCCCGAGAATTCGCGCGCGCGCACGCGTGGAATTCCGGGCGCCTGGTGGGTCCGGGATTGCTATACCTGGAGTCTCCTTCTGACCCCTAGAAAAAGGGGTCATTACCCAAAATAATGGGAGCATTGACCCATTTTGTAAGGGTCATGGAGACTCCAGGTAGGTGTGTCCTTTTTCAGACGACCCACAAAATGGGTGGTTTCCTTCAGGTTTCCCTTTTGAACCTCACAAAAAGGGCTCTCAGCAAAAGGACATATCCCGGTAGTTCTCTTGGGAGCCAGCTCAAGCCTCGCCGTGGGGGCGTGGTGCTTTTCAGGGAGAAGGGTGCGTGTAAAAGCAAAATGGGTGTCAATTTTCTCCAAAGCACCACCCAGACTATTTGGAACCCAGCCTGCACCCTGGTAACAACCCGCTTGTTTGAGTGACCAAAACATGGAAGTGGTGAAGACAATCCTGAACAACAAAATGAGGGGCAGCTTTTTTTTTGTTCCAAAGAGTCAAGCCCTGGGGCAGATGGGTTCCTCCAGTTGCGGATGTCTTTTGAGCCCCCCTTCAAGCAGCCGCGCGTAGGTCCCTCTGAGATATACCCAAGGATTTCCCATCGATGCTGCCCAATCACGCTTGCCCCCACTGTGAGTTGGTGAGTAGCTTTGTGCGACTGAAAGTGACCCTGTGGGAGCGTATTCTTGAACCTTCCCCTTGCCAAAGAGCCCAGCACAGTTTGGGCCCAGAGAAGACTGAACAAAGCCAACATGCACAGTGAATTCTGATCCACAGCCATGAGGCTTAGCCAACTTACGAACACACATCATTCAGGGGAGTTGCATGGCAATTTCGACACTTTGTGGGGTGCCGTCGGCGTCGGGGCTTTCCTGGATCTTTGCCCAAATTCGATTGGCAAGACCTTCTATGCAACCTACGGGTGCCTTGGGCCTCAAAGGCCTGCCCAACGTTCACCTGGGGTGAGCAGACCCCCCCCGCCCAATGCGACAGTTTCCCCAAAAGGGTGGCGGCCAAGACGATGGAGTTAGCTTGTTTCGTTTCGGAATAGCTTCTTCGGAAATGACGAGGTCTAGGGGCAAATCGAGCGATAACGATGAAGGTCTTTCGAAGATTCCGAATGTCAGGCTCGCTCTACTGCTCGCTCGGAATTATGATATGGTATGTGCAGCAATTCTTTGCTAGAGCACCTAAAAATATGGAAGGTCCAGGCAGCAGTGCCCTTTGATTTTGCCAGTTTAAGGGGTGGTTTCCCATGTTCTGTCTACAAACCACCCATCAATACGCATCGAGCCCGCGCAGGTGGACCCCAAGAACTTGGCAGCCCGGATCGAGGGGTCCGGTGAAACCGGAGGGCGTTGGTCGCGCGCGTGTCCGAAATTTGCACAAAGGGACACGCTCCAAAAGAGACCCTAAGCATCAGAAGGGGGGTTTTAGAGCCCCGCATTGGAAGGTATTGGAGTTGAATAAGGGCCGTTTCTTGTTAGCGTGTTGAACCAAGTCTGATGTTGGTCACCCCAAAACCATCGGCATTTTTTAGAGGGCCCCGATCGATTAATTTTGCCCCCTCTCCACAAAACCACCCATTCACCTGGGGTGAAATGGGGTGTTATTTATTGAACACATGAAGTTGCACTCTTGGTACGCCTCCTTACTTGTGCATGTAGGGTTTGAGATGTTTATTTGAGCTGACACGGGTCAAGGGTTGTCTTTTGCCAGTGTAAACCTTGGCTCAAGCATGACCATGAGGGGTAAGGGCGGCAAGATGTCGCAAGGGACACTGTTGACACTTTTCTGATAGCGTCAATTTGTTGGAGTAACCTGAGCACTTGAGCAACTGATGGAGAGTGAGGCCTTCTATTTTTTGCCACGCCGTGAAGTGAGTGGACCAACGAGGGTCGGAGGGAGCCAACTCTCCGTGGATCATGCGACCTGCGACCCAGTCAAAGACCCCCTAACCACTGAACACCTCACAAACAAAGGGGCACGCCCATTTGGGGGTTGATCTGTCTATATTCCTGGCCCCAAAATGGCCATAGGTAGCTTTTCTTGTTCAGTATCGTTTTTGTTGGTTTGCCGGCTGCTCATCTCATGATGTAAAGACCTTTTGATCAACCCCCAATTGTCGCCCTTTGGGATCTTTGGACGGTTGCAAAAGCTGATTGGGGTCGATAGGATAGCTGAAAAGCTGGTCTCATGTTGGGACAAGCAGTGACACGACAGTGTGAAACGGACCATGCTGAACCTGGCATGATACGAGGTATTACTAGTAGGAGGCCCATTTCTTATTTCAGGTTGGTGGAGGAATTATCGTTCGGAGGCCCACTTCTTATTTCAGGTTGGTTAAAAAATGAGAACCAAAGCTCAGACTCAGGAGAAGACACCGCAGATGAAGCGCTATGAGCCAGCTTGGTTGGCTGGTACCAGCGTGGGGGATGTCATGTTCCAGGCGGGAGAGCTTCATTGTCCATGTCAAACTCATTTGGATGTGTCTCAACAGGGGGAAGCCCCATATGAGCGGCGCCGAGAAATCGTGGTGGCCACTTTCGCAGTTGGTTCATGTTGAATCTACTGCCAGATGTTCTAAATGTCCCAGCAAGCCTGGCAAGCTTTTCATAGACCATTATAACCAATTTGGTAGAACCAACAGTGAACAGGGTTTGGGCACCGCTCATTCGCTGACTTGGCTAGCCCCCAAGCTCACTTCTCCAAAACTGGTCAAAACTCATCGTACCGTCCAGTGATCCATGGGCCAAGGTTTCTACTGGGTCTTTTGAAGTGAGAAACGGATGGTCCCCTAGGTTTGAAACAAAGATTTTCCATCAAGGGAATCGCCTGGTTGTGACCTGAAGGCTTCTCCCCATGTTGGGTGTTGGGTCGCTTGGTCCTTTACACGTGGAAGTCCGTTGAGACGTCCTCCGTTTTGAAGCTGGCAGTACCTGGATCGCCAGTGTCTTTTTTTGCCATGCACTTTACCCCACGAACCAGCAACAGTGACTGAAAAAAATTGGCTATCCAGGTATGTTTATAACCGAACTGCGGGGTCCAAGAAGGGACATATTGTAGTTGCCCGTTAGATGAGAAGCCAAACACTGCCAGTCGTGCTCAAGGGTTGGAGCATGTTCAGTCTCCAGATTGCTTAAGCACATAGATGTCAACTTCCAACGTTACTCTAAGCATTGGCTTCCTTGGAGAAGGCACCCTCAGCACCTGAGAGTCAATGTCAGCAAGTTATGCGCTGTCTGCAAACCCGACAACTTGCTGCGGGCTTGACTACTGTCCAATTTCTCATCTCGCGTTCCAGATAGCTGTGGGCAATGTTGTGAAGCGGGTTTCGCACTGCAGAAAGTGCTCACGATAGAGCGTCTTTTTCCCGCGAAAGGATCCCTTGAAAGACGGCCCATTACTATCAAAGGTGGGTGTTGAATGGGCTTCTTTGGGTGCAGAGAAGCTGTTTGACAATTATGTTGTGCCCATTTCTCGCCCACAAAGCGGCGGCGATTGGTAAGCGCTTCAGGTTGCTTGGGGTTTGGTATCAAATGTGCGGTAGATGGTCCTTTTGGGAGAAGTATGGGTAAGCAGATTTTCATCGGAGCAGAACTTTCACGCACTATCAAGCAATTAGATGAAGCGAGGCGGACTACTTCCTCAAGGAGCTGGCCCTGGGAGAGTACACCATGCCAGTGGTCGGCATGATGATGCCCAGCTGCACTCCAGTTCAGCCATCCCTCAAATATCTTACTACCAACAGAATACTCTGGCAAAGATGCAATGACTTGACTAGCCCCCAAGCGGCAGTTCATGCCAAAAGGGTTCGAAATGTTCACCCCGAGCATAGGGTTCGACCCATTTCGCCCCTCAAGCCTCTCTCCGCCCACCCAGCCGGCCCCAGTTTCAGGAGCGTCTTCGACTGGTCGGAGGTCACAGACTCCAACGCCACCTGGGCCGGGCGCGAGTGGTTCGTGGTGAAAAAGGCGGAGGTACGCATGGCCGAGGACGGATGTGTTCCGGACATGAGCCAACGCCAAAGGGATCTCCTTTTTTCTAGGGGGGTGGGAAATTCTGCCATGAAGATCTGCACGTCGTGGGACCTACTAAGTACTACTACTAATTGTTTCCTCTAATACATATGACTAATTTTGGTTTTAAAACAGCCCCTTGCTTGGGGGTCTTGTTGTCCATGGTGACACAACCAGACCCCACAAACATTCCAGCGCGGCAATTGATGTTCCCCCCTTTTTTCAAGGGGAGGGGCTCGGGGTGGGCGGGTGAGTGTGCGGGTGAGTGTGCGTGTGCGTGCTCGGGGTGGGCGGGTGAGTGTGCGGGTGAGTGTGCGTGCTTGTGCGTGTGCGTGTGCGTGTGCGTGCGTGCGTGCGTTCGTGCGTGCGTGCGTGCGTGCGCGTGCGTGCGTGTGTGCGTGCGTGCGTGCGTGCGCGCGCGTGCATGCGTGCGAGCGTGCGTGCCTGCCTGCGTGCGTGCGTGCGTGCGTGCCTGCCTGCCTGCGTGCGTGCGTGCGTGTGTGCGTGCGTGCGTGCGTGCGTGCGTGCGTGCGTGCGTGTGTCTCTGTGTGTGTGTGTGTGTGTGTGTGTGTGTGTGTGTGTGTGTGTGTGTGTGTGTGTGTGTGTGTGTGTGTGTGTGTGTGTGTGTGTGTGTGTGTGTGTGTGTGTGTGTGTGTGTGTGTGTGTGTGTGTGTGTGTGTGTGTGTGTGTGTGTGTGTGTGTGTGTGTGTGTGTGTGTGTGTGTGTGTGTGGGCGTGAGCGTGCGTGCGTGCGTGCGTGCGTGCGTGCGTGCGTGCGTGCGTGGGTGGGTGGGTGGGCGGGTGGGTTTGTGTGTGTGTGTGTGCGCGCGTGGGCCTGCGCGAGCGTGTGTGTGTGTGTGTGTGTGTGTGCGTACGTGCGTACGTGCGTGTGTGTGTGTGTGCCTCGTTTTGGGCTTTGGTCTACGTTGTGTATCAGTGCGGAGATGCGTGCGGTTTTGCTGTCAGCATCCGGCTTGAGATACATTATAGCGATCTCGGGCCATTTGCAAGGGCTATGATTCAAGCCGGATTCATTCCGAATAAATATGTCTATGGTGAAATGCGCCCCAAGTCACAACCGTGCCATCATCTTGGATCGCCGCAAATGCATCTTCGGTCGCTTGGATCTTACGCACGCGCGTCAGCTGCTCTTGCACCTGGCTGCTGTCTCCGCCACCTCTCAAATAGCCCCAAGCCACCACCGTGCCATCTTGCCGGATAGCAGCAAAAGCACCGCTGCTTGCTGCTTTGATCTGCTCAATGCGCGTCAGCTCCTCTTGAACCTGGCTGCTGTCACCACCACACTCAAAATGGCCCCATGTCGCTGCACTGCTTGCCGGGACATACAGGGCAAATGCGCTATCCGTGGCATTGATCTGGGCCTTCTGCCCTGCTGCACAACAACCGCACTGATTGCATCCCCATCTCTCACGCCCGCCTCACTCAAGGTACACCCCGAGTCTAGCGGCTGGCCATGCGCGACCAGCCGGAGGCATCCGCGCCCCAACTGCTGCGCCGCAGCCTTCAGCTCCGCAACAGTCGCCCCCAGAGGAAGCGTCACAGAGCAACTGCTGCCGCTTGCAAGGCACACCTCCACACTCAACATAGCAGTTCTGTGGCTGGCTTGCTACCGGCTCGCGGTTGAGTTCCTGAACATACATCACATACATATTCGAAACAAAACACCAGCACTAGGAAATTGTCCTGTTTGAGCAAGAACCCCTTTTTGAGGCTCCATGCTACTTTGTAAACAAGAAGCGCCGGGTCGTGCTGGACGGTACAAAGACGAAATCGAGACTTCGCTCAGTTCAGCCCCGGTGCCATCCAGAAGTCCGGGTTGGGGGTTCGGAACTGTTGCTGCCCACTTTTGTGTAGAAGCTGAGAACTATGGTGGAGAGAGCAGCCCGGTAGTTGAGCAGTTAGCAGAAGTCGTAGAAATCCAAGCAACTTGCGGTGCTTTTGCTGCCATCAAGGAAAACAGCACGGTTGTTGCCTGGGGTGATGCAGGATTTGGCGGAGACAACAGCCAGGCGCAAGAACAGCTGACCGCGGCATCCAAGCAACTGGCTATGGAGCTTTTGCCGCCATCAACCATGATGGCAGCGTTGTGACTTGGGGCGACCCTTTGTATGGTGGAGACAGCAACCAGGTTCAGGAGCAGCTGACATGCGTCCAGCAGATCCAAACAACTCAAAAGGCGTTTGCAGCCATCAAGGATGATGGCACAGTTGTGACTTGGGGCGAGCCAGAGAGTGGTGGAGACAGCAGCCAGGTTGTTGAGCATCTGACGGGCGTCTGCAAGATCCAAGCAACTGAGGGTGCCTTTGCTGCAATCAAGGATGACGGCACAGTTGTGGCCTGGGGTGATGAAGAGTGTGGTGGAGACAGCAGCCAAGTGCAAGAGCAGCTCACAAATGTCCGCCACATTCAAGCAACCAATGATGCTTTTGTTGCCATAAAGGATGATGACACGGTTGTGGCCTGGGGCAAGGCAGTCTCTGGTGGGGACAACAGCCGGATTGTCGAGAAGCTGTCACGTGTCCAGGACATCCAAGCAACTTGTTCTGCTTCTGCGGCCATCAAGCAAGATGGCACAGTCGTGGCTTGGGGCGATGCACAATATGGCGGAGATTGCAGCCAAGTGCAAGAGCAGCTGATGAGCGTTTGTCAGATTCAAGCAGCTGTGAATGGAGCTTTCGCTGCCATCCGACAGGATGGCACAGTTAACTTGGGCAAAGCATGGCGGGGACAGCAGCCAGGTGGAAGAGCAGCTGATACATGCAAGCCGCTGACAGAAGATTACAAGAGCCTATCGAATGCGCCGCACTTGCGCTTTGCGAGCCTTTCCGGAGAGGAATGCCTTTTGCCCAAGGCAAGCCAATGAGAGCGGAATTTTGACTCCGTTGTCTGATAAGCAAGGCCCTCCTAAACAATGATACATTGTCTCCTGAGCGATGAAGACCCCTGAATAAAGCTGGCTAGTACGGAGCATCGCACGTTCGAGGGATTCTATGATACCCATATATTTCGAGAGTTGGTGTGCATCCCCCCAGCCCCACTCTTCCCGGGTTTAAGGACTCCCTTTTTTCCTTTGCACACCGTCCTAATGTTGACCCGCTATTAAGCAACAGTTCATTAATGGGATGTTCCCCAGTTTCCCTCCAAGAGTGGTCTGATTTCCCAAACCCGGAAATGAACACCCCCCGAATTCAATAGACTGGTTGATGAATAGGGGGTCAACATTCGCCAAGGGGGGGGGGTGTCCCTGGGCTTAGTGAAAAATCAAACCACTTTTGGAGGGACCAAAACCACCCCTCCGAAGTGAAGAACAAAAACGCTTAGCTAGATTGTCATAGGTCAACCCATTCGCATAAGCCCCGGGTTTCGTAGGACAAGACCTTGGTGCCCTTCGTGAAGATGGGCGTGGAGGCGCGAGAGCAGACGGTGACCAGCAAGGGCCTCGAGGACAAGGCCATCACCAGCAAGAACCACCCCCTCACCAGGCGAATCGAGAGAGCGGACGCGGGAAGCGGGCAAGCGGGGGGGGTTTTGCGGGTTTGGACCCCTTAGCTTTGGGCGGGGGGAAGGGAAGGCGGGGGACCAGCGCAGGTTTAGGCGATTCCACTTGATTGAACATGTAGAAACGCAATGGTTGAAACGTCTGCCTTTTGGTTGCCCTTGCCCTGTGGCACTTTAGGTATTGTAAAAAGAAACCACATAATAATTGTAATTATGCGACTTCAGCCTACAATGCAAACGTAAGCCCTCAGTAAAGTTAAGAAAACCTTTTTCATGCGAGTTCGCAAGCCATGGGTCCAAATGGTATATCCCTTTTGTATATATATATACATACACATAAATCTTGGGCCGAATTGTTGGGCTGCCTCGTCAACTGCACTGGGTATTTGGCTCGCCAGGGTCGCAAGGACACATTCGGGCCGGTTAACAAATACGGTATTTGTTGCCTACGTTTGAGGATCCAAGTCCTTGCAAAGCAGGTGGCTTTTGGATTTCTTCCAGGAACCCTGTTTAGCATGGTCACATGTGCCATGCGCCTTTCTGGTCGCTCAAGGGGGTCGGTCAGGTAAGTGGCTACGTCCAACCCTTTAAGGTTGCATACCCTGCCGCCTTAAGCACTCGTACCCCATTGCGCATCTGAGTCGAAGCTCGCTCCTCCACCTCCTCCCCCCCCCGCCCCCCCCCGAGTTTCTCAATCTTCAGTCCCACTTGGGCAATGCACAGGCTGGCTTTGGACATCACATGTCGATTGCCCAATTTCACTTGGTGAACTTTTGCTTGATGTTGGTACTGTTTCTTGGCTGGAAGTCGCTTGAACCTGCACGGCTCGATCCTATGCCCGCATGTTGATTTTCATGACCTGACAGAAAGGAATTGTGCTATGTAATTAGCCAACGCCCTGGAGATGGGATGGGTCAAAGGAACTCTGATCCCAAACGGCGAAATCCACCTTGATCCATTTGGATTGTCGAGGTTTGCCGACACTTTCACCCGGCACTTTGACCTCATCGCGGAACGCAAGAGCGTGATCTTCCACCTGCGCGAGCTGGCCAAGGCGAATTCGAATTCGAATTCGCGGCACATCGGCGGAGTCGGGGACGGCTTGTTCAGTATCCCACACACTGCAGGTAGGTATTTGGGGGCCGGAACCACCAATTCTTTGCGGTGGTTCATCAAACGATCTTTTTCCCGGAGTTTGCGAAGCCACAAAACGAATTGGTTGTTCAAGAGGGCTGCAAAGGGAAGCGAAGAGGAGACCAACCGTACTTGGGTGCAAGGTCTAAGGGGAGTCCAAGCACGTGTCACACAACGGAACATGGTCTTGGAATATTTTGGAATAATCTCCTTGGTTGGAGCAAGCCGCAGGGGAACCTGTGCAAGGAGGACTGTCAAAATCGGGTTTCATGACCTTTCAACATGTTTTGGTTTGTGACCTCACCCATGGGAAGGCTGCTTGGTGATTGCCTGTGTCAGGTGTGTGAATCATTTTCTCCCAAAGGATGGCACACCTTGTCCTTCTCGGTAGAAGCCTGCCTGTCTTGGAAGATACCAGCAGCGATATCCAAGCTTCGAGGATACAGTATGGCAATTTCGCGTGTGTGTGTGCTTTGCATAAACACACTTGGAATGTAGATCTATATGCATACATCAAAAGCCAAATTGTTTTTGGTTGTGTGTTTCTATCTCGAAAACTAAAACAGAAAAAATAACCAAGATATGTTATAACGCCCAATGGGTTCAATCCTGTTGGTGAGCCTCCGAAGGCTTCAGTGATGGCCAAGTACCTCATCGATGCCAAGATCGCGGTGGATCCTCGATGGCTGGGGACCCAACTCGGAAGACAGGGAGCGGCAGAGGGGTCAGAGAGTCATATGATCAACCCTCTCTCTCTCTTACTAACATGGCACCTGACAAAAAGGTCCCTCCAAGAGGAAACTGATCTTCCAGGTAGCCTCCCTCAGGTGCCATGAGGAAGGTCAACTCCGAATTGGTGGGTTGGATTGGTTTGGATTTGGATTTGATGCCTTGTGCTTGTAGAGGGTAAGTGGGAAACTCCTCCTTAGCCACCAAAACACTAATCCAAACCACAAATTAGAGGGACGCCGATATGAGCAGCGTCCAAGTCCTCTTTGTGCTTGTTTAGTAAGAGTCGTGTCATATTGGCGTAAGCAAAATGATTCGACATAGCAACTCATGACACGTTTAGGTCAGAGAGTCATATGTGGTTTGCAGCTTCCCAAGTGCGCTGGCCAGGCATAGTTCATGGCACTCCTTGCAACTCACATAAGAGAGACCAGGCATCTACATTGACAAATGATTGCGTTGTGTTAAACATTGCGCTGCCACTCGCTGAATGCCTGCAAACTATTTTGGTCACTCTTGGTGAAACACCAAATCTGACTCGCGAAGGGAGAGAGGCCGGCGATTGGCTTTCTGCTGTGCGGCTTGCTTGCGCCTGCGGTGCCGAAGCCACATGTGTGTCTTCAAGGGTGCACCCTGCGAAATGGGTCTGGGTCAAAATTAAGCCACCAAAAGGGACCGCAGATTGTAGTCCATTTAGTCCATGTTTCCATTTACCAGGGCAAGCCATTTTGGGGTTACCTATTTTTGACCTGCAGGCAAATAAGGACATGGCGGTGTTTTTCCGTTCATTTGAGACGACCCCAAACGGATACCCTCAACAAGGCTCCTTAAAAGATACATTTTGCCCATTTGAAGCATGGCTGTTTCGACCAAAATAAAGGGAAACCACCATTTACAAGGCAATGTTCGGGTGTATAATGTAAGGATCCCTGCTCAACACGCAGAGCGCACACTGCAAGGTACGACCTGGCGGAGGACATGGTGAGGTCCACTGTGCCAGAGGCATCGGGGGGCTGCCGGCGTGTGCTGTCGCTGCCGTTACAGTCGTACCATGGATCGATGACACGCCCATCAGTTGGTGTTGCGAATCAAAGTATTATATTGCACATTGGTCATCCATTCCAATCGGAGGATGTGGTGAATCAAATAATTATCATCCATCTCAACTGAGTTACTGGTCTAGGATGTGTTCCATCCGCAGGATTTCAAAGATGTCCAGCCCTGCCTGACTTCGCTTGCAAAAGGCTTCGGCTGCTTCGAGGCGCATCCGGAGATCCCCCAGCTCTGGAACATGCGTGGCAACTCCCGCATCCAACTCCAAGGCGCGGCGGAGGAAGTTGGGGGGAACCGTCTTGTGGGTTTGAAGCGGAGACCAAAAGGACACCTACGATTTTGTTTTTTTGGGCCTTTCCCCCCATTTTAAGACCATGCCAAAACAAACTGGAATGTTTTTTGGTGGATTTGAAAGGGACGCCACAAAGGCGACCCACCAGTTTGGCGAAGCTAAATTGCCAATCCACAACCGCTTGATGTTCAAATGGGTGTGTCCTGTTTTAGGTGGGACCCACAAAATGGGTTTAGTGCCACTTTGGCTTCTGTTTGAACCAACCCCAAAAGGTTGCCCCAACAAGAGACAGAGCCACCTTGAAGAGAGACGGATGCAACCAGTTTCTTGTTGCCCACATCCTTCCAAGGTCAAGTAAGACTCCGCAAGCCAGCTCGCAAGGCCATGTTTGGAGCTGTTCCAGGTTGCATAGGTGTTGGATCTCCGATCTCAGGGCAAGCCGGCATGGCGGCTATGTAACTCCCCATTCGCATGCCGTTTTGGCCCGGAAGGACCACTTCTTTCTGGTGGTTCACCAAACCTTTTTCCGTGAACCGCGTGTTATCCTATGGTTGTTTAAAGGGTTCCACCCAAAATGAACTGTTTCGGGCCCCAGGATGATCATGTTTTCGCTTGGTGGCACCCCATTCACAAGTGTTGTCGGAAAACGTCCCATGCCCAGGTGGCAAGCTGCGAGATGTCCAGACGGGGCTGAACAGCAATCTTCACGCCATCTACGGGGGCGTGCAGTTCGGCCGGGAGCTCAGCGTGATTAGCGTGATTCACAAGGGAGCCTTTTGGCCCCCAAGGTAGTTCTACCGGAAATGAGCCAAGTTTTCAACAAGCATCGGAGCTGGGGGTTCAAGTTGGCCGAATATAGATGGTACTGTTTTCAGTTTGGGTTCCAATCATTGACCAGTGCTAGCACGCCGCATTAGTTTTGGGCGCTTTCCTGAGGCCATTTGCCAGCTGTTTAATTGGTTATGTGTTTCGCTGTCTCTCTCCCTCTCTCGCTCAATGGTAGGCCAGCGCAAAACAAGGTCCACCATTTTGACAAACCATGTCAGACTGGTTTCAAGGGCAACCTTGAAACCAAAAGGACAACCCAGCATTTTGGGGTTTAGGGCCACCCAACTATTTAAGCCTCTGGTTTTCCGAAACCTGATTCCCCAAATGGGTGTGTGTGTGTGTGTTTTTACGGGATCCCCAAACATGTGGGTTGTCCTGTTGGTTTCCCTCTGAAACCATCCCAAAACGGGTTGCAACTCGAAAACAGACGCACCCAACTTTGGTTTACCACCCAACACATTGGAACCGGTACATGACCCTATGGTTTACCTCATGTCCCACGTTGGTTTTGCATGAACAACAAGGTAACCATCGGTTTCCCCGTTCTGGGGTTTCCCTATTAGAATTCACAGCCACGTGGGTTTGGCCGGCCCCCCCCCCCCCCCCCCGGAAAGTCCAACAACTCTTTGTTCTTTGTTTGGCTCCCTCTTAGAATTTCCAAAATTTCATTATCATTATTCTTATTGTGATTCTTGGGTTCCCTGTTAGAATTTGTCCAACCACTTGGTTTCTCCTCTCTTTTTTTGGTGGGGGGGGCCTGGGGGGGCTCCAAGTGGTGTGTTTTTCTTTTGGTTGGTTCCCTCTTAGAAGTTCCATCCGCTCGTTTTTTTTTTCCCGAAAGCATGGCGAAGGGTTCTTCCGCTGGGTTCACTTGAGTTGTTCTCATGAGAGTCATTACAAGGTGTCATTGCAAGGAATCATCATCATAAAAGTCATTGCAAGGAGTCATTGCAAGGAGTCATTGCAAGGAGTCATTGCAAGGAGTCATTGCAAGGAGTCATTGCAAGGAGTCATTGCAAGGAGTCATTCATTGCAAGGAGTCATTGCAAGGAGTCATTGCAAGGAGTCATTGCAAGGAGTCATTGCAAGGAGTCATTGCAAGGAGTCATTGCAAGGAGTCATTGCAAGGAGTCATTGCAAGGAGTCATTGCAAGGAGTCATTGCAAGGAGTCATGGCAAGGATTGCAACTTGCACTTGACTCCTTGCACTTGCAACTTGCACTTGACTCCTTGCACTTGCAACTTGCACTTGACTCATGCACTTGCAACTTGCACTTGACTCCTTGCACTTGCTCCTTGCACTTGGCTCCTTGCACTTGCAACTTGCACTTAACTCCGTGCACTTGCGACTTGCACTTGACTCCATGCACTTGGCTCCTTGCAACTTGCAATGGCTCTCATGACTCCTTGCAATGACTCCTTGCAATGACTCCTTGCAATGACTCCTTGCAATGACTCCTTGCAATGACTCCTTGCAATGACTCCTTGCAATGACTCCTTGCAATGACTGCTTGCAATGACTCCTTGAAACAAGCAAGGAGTCAAGTGCAAGTTGCAAGTGCAAGGAGTCAAGTGCAATTGACTTGCGAGGAGTTAAAATCTCTTCTTAGGGCGGCGGGGTAGTGCCGACGACGCTACACGAAAATCGACCCTCTGCGGGGATCGGCGTGGTCGAGGTGCAAAAACCCATGGTTTTTTGCGATTTCTAACCTGCTCGCGCGACCCTCTGCGGGGATCGGCGTGGTCGAGGTGCAAAAACCCATGGTTTTTTGCGATTTCTAACCTGCTCGCGCGACCCTCTGCGGGGATCGGCGTGGTCGAGGTGCAAAAACCCATGGTTTTTTGCGATTTCTAACGGTGCTCGCGCGACCCTCTGCGGGGATCGGCGTGGTCGAGGTGCAAAAACCCATGGTTTTTTGCGATTTCTGCGGTGCTCGCGCAACCCTCTGCGGGGATCGGCGTGGTCGAGGTGCAAAAACTCGAGGTTTTTTGCGACTTTTGTTGTTCGAACTGGTCCTCGGGAGTTGTCTCGTGGTTCGCGCGCCTGCTCCCGGAACCGGCGGGTCGCGGGTTCGATTCCTCCCTGGTCCGCGGGCGGGCGTCGCAAGATGCAACTTGCATTTTACAGCAACTTGCGCAGAGCAACTTGCGCAGAGCAAGTTGCACAGAGCAACTTGCGCAGACCAACTTGCACCGACCAGTTTGCGCAGAGCGCCTTGCCTAGAGCAACTTGCGCAGAGCAACTTACGCAGAGCAACTTGCACAGAGCAACTTGCACAGAGCAGCTTGCACAGAGCAACTTGCAGGGAGCGCAATTTGCACAGAGCAACTTGCAGGGAGCCACTTGCAGGGACCAACTTGCCGGAGCAACTTGCGCGGAGCAACTTGCGCAGAGCAACTTGCACAGTGCAACTTGCGTAGAGCAACTTGCGCAGACCAACTTGCACCGACCAGTTTGCGCAGAGCACCTTGCCTGGTGCTGTCTCGCGCTTGCTTCACGAAGTGTAGGGAAAAAGAACGCATCCTGCAGCGTTGGGCCGACCTCGCTTGCGATGTTCTGCTCAACCGTGGTCTAGTTTTGGGGGGGGGTCGGCTGAGTCGGCTCGTCACGGAGGCCTGGACCGGTTCCAGCTGGCGCAGCGCCCCGCGCTGCCGGGCACCTCCATGGTGCCCTCCGCTGGGCTGGGAGGACCTATGCCAGGCACCCGTGGGAATTCGTGGGAACCCGTTGGGACGGGTGCGGACAGGTCCGGTGTATGTTGTCTGCCTGGACCCGCAAAATCGCCAGAAATGGGTTTTTTGCCCCCAGAGAATGGTTGCTGACGTGCCTTTGATATAGGTAGTTTGAGGGTATAGTTGACTATTTTATAGCGAGCTCACCGATGAGCTGGGACACGAGCGAAAGCCATGATGAAGGTGCTTGACTTGAGGATCCAATTCAGAATTCAGCCTATTACACAGAAAAATGCAGACAATGTTGGGGATGGTAGAGTCTAGGAAAGCCCTAGTTCTTGCTTCAGATTTTGGATGTTTGCAGTATTGAATTGATCAAACAATATTGCAGCATGGACCTTCAAACAACACTTGAAAGAGGGACGCCACCAACCATAATTTGGGGGCAGTCACCAATTTGTTATGGGTATTTTATGGGTATTTTGAGGGTCCAGGTAGGGCTCTTACCCAAAAAACCAGGTTCTTTAGCCGTTGCAAGTGGAGACCAAGGGATGGGGGTTGGTCAATATTCCCCAAATGATGAGCAACTTTCCAAGTAGTAATTTTGGCTACTACCTTTGCTTAGTTCTAACCAGGGGTCATTTTGGTTAACTTGGTAAATTTGTCCAGTGTAGGGTAAATCATTGAGCCATCTGACCTGAGAGGGGTCTCTGGAAGTTGCTAAATGGGTGTGTCTCTTTTGAGGGAACCTGAAGGTGGACTTTGGTTTCCCTTGAAAGCGGCCACAACACTGATACCCACAAGAAAAAACGGCCACAAATGTATTGGGTGGGTGTCATTTGGCCGCCTCAGCTTGCTGATGCAGGGGGTTGTGACCTTTCTAGGAGTCATGCGGCGTATAGCCGTATAGTTCGATTTAAAGGCCAAGCAGGGCGGACAAGTTCGACTCCCCATTAGGGAGTTGGATGTTGCGGGGTTCAACGAGAGGCACTAGCTTGGTATTACTGATGTGTTAGATTCTGAATTGAATGCTTGAGCTTTCCCACGGCTGAAGCTTCCCACTGAACAAAAGCAGAGTGGCAAGGTTTCGAGGGACGGAGGACCCAGGTGACAGACGAGGACACTTTCACATACTTGGATTGAGAGAAGAGCGAACCAAAGGGCTCCTGTGGATTCAAAATGATCAAATGGGGCAAGCAACAAAATGGGCTAATTTCCTTGAATTATCATTGGAACCGACCAAAAGATTCGCCATCCCAAATAGACATACCAATGCAAACACCCTGCGGCCTTTTTGCACACGAGTGTCTACATGCCTTAAGTCAGCAATGGGATCCTTCGTCTACCCACTTTACTTTGCCGTCGATGTGAAGAGTTGTTTGAAGCTCCAAACAGTAGCATTCTCGCAACTTTTGCAAGGGAAGTGCGGTGACGCCTGTGCCTCAAGGGGCCTGATCGCCTTTTAATCAAACAAGTCACAGCTTGCATCACAAGACAGTCATATGGCAGCATCCTAGAAAACACGTTTGTTGAACGGGCTACCAAGTAGTTTTCAATCGAACACTCAGCCCCATAGGTGTCCGCTTTCGGTCAGTTTTGCTATATAATAGATGGTTTCCTCATTTGTTTGGCTCTAGCTGGACCCTCAACACCCTTAAAAATGGATCACAGCCCCAAAATTAGGGGGTTAATTCCATTTTGAAAAGGGCAGCTTGAGGGTTCTGGTCGCCATTTTCCAGTGCCACCCATTGCTCAGCCCCCCTTTTGCCCGGGTCCGGTCGTGTCGCAGGCGCTGCTCTGACCCAGCCAGGTCGTTTCGACATCCAAGGACCGAGGTTCGATCTTCGAAGGTCGTGTTTCTTTTTTTGGTTTTATGTAAAGGCTTGGAATGCAGGCGTTTGTCTCATAAGGAACCCGGAGCTTGCTGGGGTTGCGGTACCTCTCTAGCGAGGTGCTGGGCTTTGCAGTTGTTGGATGACAAAAGTCTGGAATTTCTGGCCAATCCTCGCGAGTGAGATTTGCGTGAGGCCCGTTGAAGGCAAGGTTTTAGGTGTCTTGAAACCGGTTCAGTATACTTGGCGGCGCTTCGTCATTACCCATTTGCGGACCAGTAAGTTGTGAATTAGGGTGCTGCGGAAGAAGGATAGACCTACCGCGACCTAGTCAAAATGGATAGTGGGAGTCACAACCAGCATTCTTCTCAAGATGGTAGTTGCCGCGATCGCGGAATGGCCCGTCGTGCAGTATGCAAGTATGTGAGTATGTCACGTATGTGGTTTTTGTTGAGAGCACCTTTTTCTGGTTGTGGTGAAAAGGGGAACCAAAATGAAAGCCAGAAAGTTGGGGGTCCGAGTCCCGATTTCTCTCCAACTCCGCCTCGTGGTGTTCGGGTGTGGGGCCACCTGGCCATGTCCGAAAGGAATGCAGCTGGGCCCTACTGGCCGTCCAATGCAGCTTGGACGGGTTGTGAGGGGCGGGCAGATGGTAAAAGGAACTCTAGGGGTACCTTCCCCATCCTTTCCAGGGGTCCTTCTTTCTAGAAAACCTCCAGAATCCAAAGGGAAGACGGCCGGTTTTTGGAAAGAACGATGGTTGAAAAGAATGCGGAAGCAACATTTTCAGGAACCAACAATTTAACGAAAACAGGAAACAAATAAGATAGCCAGACTTAGCTTTTGACTGCTTGCCCCTGTTGCTCAATTTCCTTTTAGAACCGGCAGACATGTTAACTTTTTGCTGGGGGTCTAAGTTTGGACCCACGGGATGTCTCATGCAATTAAGGGGGAATCCTGGACTTTTTGAGTCCCCATCCATGCACCAGGTTGTTGGCTTCACTACCTCGGGATCGGCATTGCCTGTTTGTTGCTTATTTGTTTCGTTTTATTCGGGGGAAGATTGAATTCAATATTGACCATCCTTACAATGGTGGTTATATGAACCCCCATTTTTTATTTATTTATTTTTTTTTAAATGTGGATTGAAGTTCGAACCCCAGGGGAAAGTAGAATTGTGTATTTGTCAATCAACTTTGGATGATGACAATCGCTAGGTAAACAATGGTGGTGAACTATGAAACCCCCATTGTTTGAATGGTGGTATCATGTGGTATCTGAACTCCGGGGGAAAGTTGAATTCAAGATTGAAATTGTCAATGACTCAACTTGTTCAATGGCTTTAAGCTCAAATCCCAGGGGAAAATACATATTGATCACACGGCGGTGTTAAGCTCTTATTGGTATAATTTTGTGTTGGTCCATCAACTTTCTGAGGACGAGGAGATCTGAAAACCTGAAGCAACTTGAGCCATGACCTCTTAGGTTCATGCCGCAGCGCTTCCAGTTGACGCAGAAGGACCAGCCTCAAGGTGCGGCGATTGGGGTGAAGGGGCACAGGGACCAGGTTGGATTGGAGGTGTCAAGGGAAAACATACTGTTGTCAGGGAAGGTCAACATGTCAGGGTGACTATGCGGGAAGCGTGCACAAATGTGAAATACTTTTTAGATGGGCTATAAGACTGCTCAACTTCAATCATGATTCCAAGGGCCCTCGGCATATCCCAAGAGCTGCCGCTTCCCATTTCACCCTTCAAACCCATCTGGTCGCATTCCTGCGTCATTGCGTTTTGACCCCGTACCCAGGACTCAAGGCCTTCCTGGGAAGACATGTACCGCACGTACCTGGTAGGAAGGGGCTATGTCCCAGTGGGTTACAAGGGTTATGTACCCTGAAAAGGCCCCGAAGCACCAGGCGCCCTTATGTCCGTTAGCGTGAAACCAGGGTGGGATTCTCGCCTCAAGGGCTGCAAGGCCCCCCCGCGAGTCAACTTCCGAGGTGTCGATCTGGACCTCGACAAGTTCGACCTCACCTCTCCGGAGAAGTTCGCAAGCAACCTCCCGGCATGCAGCGCGAGCCCCAGATGCACAGACAGGTTGGCCGGAACACTCAAAGGGAGGGCTAGGCAAATGGGAGCAACCCATTTGTTTAAGCTGAGTTCAAAAAAACTTGATGCTACCAAGAAACGGGCAGGGTGGTTTTGCCAGACCCATAGGTACATCCAGTGAGCAATTCTCTCTGATCCTTGCTTCCTTCAATACAGAGAGGGCACAGCCGCAACGAGCTACACAAGTGCATGTCCAATTGGAGACGGATCACTTGTCGTTTGCTCTACACGGCTTGTGCGTTTCCATGGTACCGCTTTCTTGCTCAGAGTAAAGAAGGTGTCTCACAAGACTGGGGAAGGCCCTGTTTATAGTTCTGAATATTGCAGGCAAACCAACCGCAAACCATTCCTGCTTGTTTTTTGGAAAACCCTGAACCCTTTATGTTGGGAAAAAGCGCTGCTTCCTTTGGCCAAGAGCCCAGCTGACCAGCGCAAAGCAGAGGTCAAACTTCAACAAGCTGGCCTTGAGGGATGACTAAGTGAGCAGGACTGATACGGTCTCCGCCATGGCTGCAAAGGATTCAGCAGGAGTAGGACGAGTGAGTTTTTGACACGTCAACGAGCAAGCAAGCAAGCAACTGGGAGGTTTTCAGCCGAGACAACTGAGGTGCTTCTTTTGACAGCCTGGAGGGCCGCGTGACTTTGGGCAAGGCACGAAGCGGCCTTGCGGAGTCGGGCACATATATATATATATATATATTACGTATAGTATGTATATATGTTTGCTCGGACATGTTCAATTTTTGGCCTTTTGCCGTGACTCCTCTTTTTTTTAGGGTTCCACTAAATTGTGAGCTCTCTTTGTTTGGTGATGAGAAGCACCACATCTTGGGCAGTCCTCAAAATGGATTTTCTTTTGGTGGGGCCCGCGCCAGGCCTTCCTGACGACCTTGCAAGAGGCCGGCGCGCCCATCCGACGCGTCCGGCGCTTTTTGGTTGAGCATGTGGATGCAGCTTATGACCCTCAAGCTACCCTTCAAAAGATGGGATGTTTACTTCATATCATCTCTGGGGCAACAACCCATTTTGAAGGGCATTGTCAGGGTCCAAGTATCTTGTTTTAAGGATCCTGAAATATTTGCTTTCTGGTATAAAGAGGAGCCAACATTCAACAACCAGATGTCGAGGGTTTTGCTTCCCACTTTCTGTGATACCAAATGCATAGTTAGTCATTGGGCAGGCATTCCAGTGGTCTCGCAGAAGTGGGCAATCATTAGGAAGTCTGCTCAAAAACCTGGGACCCTTTGGGTTCATGTTCAAGATAAGGCAACAGGATGCTTAACATTGGCAGAGGTCCCTAGTGTTGACACCTAAGGTGTCACAACCAGGTTGGTGTCGACTGGTCGCCAGTGGCAAAACCAGACTATCTCCAGTTTTGGCATCTCCCACCGTAGTTAGAGATTTCAATCGGAGGGAATTCTGAATTGATGTCAGCCAGTTGTCAAGTAGCACTCCGTGATCGGAAACAGAAGGTTGGGTGTCACTCCTCCTTAAGCAGGGCCCCTACATCTTCCTTGTATGTCTGAATATCACCTTTGGGCAACTTCAAGGTGAGTTGCCTTTTATGGTGAGGTTTTCAGAGTGAAATGCTTCGGGAATCCCTTTATAAAAGGTCTACCAACTCAACGAGTGCCGGGACCCTCAAAAAAATAACTTTTAGAACATAGGAGTTCACCAACCACATTTTTTGGCGCGACAACCCTTTTTTGAGTTGAAATCTTGAGGTTCCCCTTAGGGCTCCGAACCAAAAGGCGGGTTCTTTTGGCCATTGCAAGGGGCCAGGTGAGTTCCCATGTGGCTCGCTCCGTCAGGGCTCTTTCGAGTCCCTGGCGCCGGAGAACTGCGCGCTTCTGAAGCAGGTCTTCAATATCCTGGCAGACAGGACCCGGGACGCATGGGCAAGTAGTTGAACCCTCAAAACTACCCCAAAAAACGGAATTCAACCAATGGATTTGGGGTTGCTATGAAACATGATTCAGGTATCCAGGTGGGTGGTTTCAATATGATTATGTTTCAACAAGGGTTCTGGATGTTGTGGATGGTTGCATTTGTTTCAAGCGCCCCAAGAAACCATATTCCATTCCCCGACGTACCGTAAGAAACGTTATGGTTTCAATCATGGATATATTTGTCCACAGGATCTTCTAGAGTAGTGATATGTCAGTATATCGAGTCTCAAAAAGAAACAAGCATAGCACATAAGCAGAGTTGTGGGTTGATCCAAAGTTATAGGTGAGGTTCAAAGGTAGCGCTCAGGCGGTTTGGCATCCACCAGGTTCCCCGTTAGGTGGAAGGTGACCGCGTCATTTCTAAGCGGTGCCCAATCTTGAAGATTGAGTATTTCTTACCTTTTCTGCTGGCACTGTCCCGCCCTGGCCAATTCCTGGAAACTATGATTCTTAGCAGGGGTGTGTCTTCTTTGGAAGGTGCCCTCTTTGGATGTTGAGAAGAGAAACCGAAGGAGTTAAGAGACACACTCAATTGCAACGGGATTTTTGCTGTAAACACATCTATCGCCCCTCCAGTTGTTTCGCCTGAAAGACTCGTCGTGTCTTTCTGCGGAAACTTAGAACAACGGCTTTCAGTTGGGAGAAGCCAACCGAAGTCCGTACATGAAAGCTCCCCTTCTTCCCAGGTACATTTTTCATACGTGAATATGTGTTTGTTCTTGAGGGTACCCCTTCTTTGCTGCTTTCAAAAGGAAACCAAAAGGAAATACACATTTTTTAGGGGGGGTCCCCTAAAAACAAGACACACACCCACCTGGGTATCTTCACACCATGACTTTCCTTCACAAACTCGCAAAGTCGGCCAGGACGGCGGAGGGGGACTCCTTCATCCCCCCGGATCCCAACCTCGAGTACGTGCAGAAGCTTCGGAACTTGGTGCAGGCGACCGAAGAAGAACCTTCCGCAGTCGCGGGGTTGGTGGGTGTGCCATGTCAATAGGGGGCACTGCACCCCGCCCCCCCAAAAGAAAAGGCAAAAGGGGTGGTTCTTACTGGATTTGCCTTTAAACGACGCTGGAAAGAGTTTGCTCCACCAGTTTTCCCTTGGAGGGATCAAAGCCTGCGATCATGACTCATGCCGCCTGTTCTTTTGCCACACCTACTAATATAGATCCATGGAGTCCCCTGAAAACCGGTTAGGGTTAGGTGCGTTCCATGGGTCGGCGTTGGGACCTTCATAAGGGAATTCAGAGGCTCCAAACAATCTGGTCATTTTGTCCCATGTCAGCAAATTTCAGGCAGCCCGCAAGCTAGCTGGTGGCCTAGACAGGCTTGGGCCCAAGAGTCCGTGGGATTGTGCTGTGTGTCTGATGGCCGTTATGCAGCAATATGTTGAAGCCACAGATGAAGCAGAGGGTCCAGCAAGTGGCGTTAGCTTGGGGCGGCGGAAAGAGGCGACGCACAGCATCTGCCAGAGCTCTTAGAAGCGCCTCATGCTGCCAGTGCTGCTGTCACAAGATGGCTTCTGCAAGCGGCCGTTTGCAAGCTGTGCAGTGCTTGCTGGATGCCAATGCTGACAGAGAAGGCGTTTGACGAGGGCGCCACACCATTGCATCCTGTATCTCGACAGTGTTGTTCACGAGCACTGGCGCCGATCAGATATGCCGTCCGGCCAGCAGACTTGGACGATTTTTACCCGTGCAGTTGGAGGAACTGGCGTCGCGCTGCGGATCTAGCGAAGCACGCTGCTGCTGCTGGTCGACCGTCCGTAACTTGATGATGACTAATGTTCATAGCAATGAACTCTCACAATATTTAGTGCTATGCGGCAGTTGTGCAAGGCGGCCGATCAAGGCGCCACACCCTTTCATCTGGCTGCAGGGTGCTGACAAAGAGAAGGCGACCGACGAGGGAGCCACACCCTTGCGTTTGTCTGCAGCAAACAACATGGGCATCACACCATTGAATTTTGCCAGGTTGCAAGCCCAGTGTTTGCTGAATGCAAGTGCTGACAACAAGAAGGCGCTCAACCAAAAACAAGCACCATTGCAGTTTGCTGCAAAGCAAGGCCATTTGGCAGCTGCAAAGCGCTTGCTGGATGGATTACTGAACAAATGACCGGCACATGAATATAGTACTGTGTTCTAAGGAAGCCCATCTACCCCTTCATGGTCACGGGATGTTTCACCGCCTTTCTCATCATTGGAGTTTTTGGCTGTCGGCCCTCACAGTCAGGGCTTCAGTCCGAAGGCGCTTGAAACATTTGGGCTTGGGCCACTAAAGATTGGCTGTTTATCTTCACGGTGGATTCCCCAAATATTGCGTGCAGCAAACCAACCCTATGAAGGAATCAGCACCATGGCTCCCAACTGGAGTTTGGACGCCACATGTCACTCTTTGTCGCCAGGAAGAGAACACTCTCGGCAAGCAGAGGCCGGTATTTGCGGCATGACTAGAAACAGGATTCGTAGGTTACCTGGGATTGGTGGTGAGTAAAAGTCAGAACTGTTCTAGTTGCTTCTTTCGTGTTTGTTTACCGGTCTTGATTCGTTGTGGTACGTTCAATCATGATGTTGATTAGCACCGAGTTGAACCTTGTTCAGCAACTTTTGCGAGGCCTCAGTTGGCAACCAGGGAGTTGTGTTGATTTCAAATCCCTCCTTAAATATTTTCTGCTTGTGGTTCCCAGGGCCTCTTTCTTGAGGTGCGGACAGAGACGGTGCGTCCATTAACGTCACCCACTGGTGGAAACTGCATCCACTGAGGGGCTAGATACAGTAAACAACTTTTTGAAGGTGTGTTTGGGAGGGCTTGATCTTTTTGGTCGAGCTCTAGCATCATTTCATTGCCCAAGGCGCCTTTTCAGGCAGAAAGAAAGCGCCTTCGCTTCATGGCACAGACCTGTCAACTTGCTTGCCCTCTCAAAATCACCAATCGCGCCTCATTTATGGCGAAGTGGGGATGACACATGATTTTTTAACTTTATTTTTCCGTTTGACAACAGAAAGGGCCTTTCTTTTCACAGCCCCTGCCTGCACTTGCATTTCTGGGCAGTGACTCAAGTTCGTAAACGATAGGGAACAGCCTGACAAATGGTTGGTGGCCATTCCTCCAGTACTTGCCCGGAATTTGTTGCAGGATTGCAACGTTTAATAGTAGTGCATGGGCCTAGCTAGCTGTTAAACCCGCCTGTTTTGTCACACCATCCGCACTCCTTCCCTTACAAGGGGTTTTGTCCTGTGTGGTGGCTTGCCACTAGGGTGCACAGACAATCCGATTGGCCAAGCCTCCATATGGGCCACCCAAATGATGGGTTCCTTTTGGTTTTCCTTCAAAACCATGACACAAGGGGTAGCCTGAAAAAAAACATGTAGAACAGCCCCGTGCTGCAAAGCCGGTATAGTGTGTTCGTGGCGGCCGTGGCGTGCGCAAAGCATGGCATGCTGCATGGTGGCATGGGGATCTATGGAGTTCAGGAGGCGAAGAGTGTGCTTTGTTGGGTGCCCTGAAATTGTCCAATCAGGTTTTTTGTTTTAGGCTTCCAGCTTGTTTCTTGCAGGGAAGAGAACAACCATCTAGATTGTGCTCGCAAGGGCGCGCTCCTGTGGTTTCTTGGCCTGCTCCTGCTAAACATCGTGTCTAAGCAAATGTTGTCTAGTTCAACTTTGGGCACTGGCCCATAAATCAGGTTTGGGGTTCTGCAGGACTCACTGAAGTTCCCACCAAAATTCAGGGGACTGGTTCGCAGCGATCCCGTGCAGGAAGACACGGTTCAGTGACAAGAACTTCACCGTGGGCACCTAGGCGGCACTTTTGGATTGAAGTGGTTGTCACGGGTGTTGCTTCTCTTAAAGCGGGGACTACTTTTAAGTGGTGGACATGCCTAGACTCACTCGCCCAAAACGGACCTATTGACCTGTTGGTTGTCCTATTCGCGTGGTCTGTATTTGGCGAAGGCTTCCTCAGGTTAGCCTTTGTATTTCCAGGTCCTCTGGGCAAGTGAGGGGATGGAGGCAAAGTGACCCCTGAGCCGGTGACGTTGTGGAAAGCCTTTGGGGGGTACTGTAGCCGTCCTCCGGACAAGCAAGCAGCTCAGCCGTGGATTTCGATGGGTTACATCCCAGGAATGGCCGGCATGGAGTTCCCGAGAGCCTGGACCTCTCGTTTCCAGCTGCTCCGCGAAGGAGCCGTTTAGCCGTTGGGGCGCGTTGGGTGCAGGGGAGCAGCCCTTTTGATTTTTGGCCAACGGAAGCAATCAACCTCACACACATACAAGGGAGAGGTTGCCACCGAAAGCCTATGATGATTCAGTTTGCTTTCTTGTTGCAGGTTGGTAGATGATGTGATTTACTCAGGTCGCTACATTGTTGGTCCTGTCTCTGTGGTCGACTCAGTTGACTTGTTGGGGCAAATGGGTCAGTGTCTCTTTAAACCTCAGGGAAAGTGGAGCAAGAGCAATCCCCAGGCAGGCCAAAGGCTGAGGATCCCGGCGTGGACTATGGCTTTTGGGATGTGTCCTGGGAATCCTGAAGCCAAGAGTTTACGATTTTTGTGTTGTGTGCTACGTGGTATCCGCTTCAGGGAGTGCCTCCCTGAAGGCCTTGCTTCAAGGGACCCATCACCGCTCTGCGTGTCACGATCTTAGCGGCGCATTGCTTTCTCCTTCTGCTTCGAATATCAGCTCAACAGAAACAGTTCAAGCAACCGGCTTGAGTTCCCTGAAGAGCATTGTCTTTTGTTCGGTTCATTTACTGCTGCTTTTGGTGAGCCCAAGAGGCAACTCATACTTGCTTGCTCTTGGTGGATAATGTAGGAATGGCCTTGTACCAACCAACATATTGGGTTCATCATGGTTCAACAACCATTGATGTTTCATTCCCGTCGACCATTAATTTTCTTACCAGAATCAATCCCAGAACCCTTCTAAGAACCCTAGCTTACGAAGGCTCCAAGACGCCTTCTTGGGGCTCGGGGCTTCCCACCGGTCAATTGCAACTTCTGAAGAGGACATCCGGACAGCTCGTAGTTTCCATTCCGCAGGACGCGCCTATGTGGCCAAGCCCAGCTTGGTGAGCCTGCAGGCAGGTTGGTTGGACCTTTTTGTGAGGTGATGTTTCAGGGAAACCAACAAGAAAAAAAACCCAACACGGAGTGTATAGTTTCTCCAGCCGCTTTGAATATCTGGCGGGGTGATGTTGAGCAGGATTTATGGGGAAGTGGGGACGCAAAATGGGAGGGGGTGACCCTGATGGGTTAGCAAAGGAAAGCAATCAAGGGGTTCAGAACAGGTGTTCTTGGATTACCCATAGTTTTGAGGCAAGATCCAATGTTTGAGGGTCCAGTTTGTTTAATTCAGGTGTAGGTTCATACATTCAGCATGTTTAAGGACATGACTGTTCCCTTTTGTGTCCGGGATTGTCCTTGCATCCTCCATATATACATGGGTTGTTTCTCAACTACCGCATTTGGTGCCTTGATATCATCCAGTTCGTCTTGGTTTCGCTTGTTGTTTTGTTCATGTGGTTTTTCGGGATGTTAAATTGGGGTGGATATGAATGGCAAGTATCCGGTGTTTGTAGCTCTATAGGTCTTACATGATAACTTGTCCTCGTTACCTGCTACGGTGATTTTTTTGGAATCACTGGGTCCGCAAATGCTGGCGGCTCGTTTCAACCAGAGCTTCGCAGGGCCACTGGTCTACTAGCGCTACTTTCTCATATCTCTAGGGTTCAACAGCGATACATCGACTCGGATTTCGTGTGACTGAAGATGTGGTTTTCGGTTGCGCTCGGGTTCGGTTCACATAGGGAGGTGAGTGCCTTAGAACCAGCTCCGAAGCCATTTCCGCCGGGCCTATGGCAGCATCATGGTCTGCGTGACACTCGTTTTAACTTCCTGGGAGTTCATGGGGTGCAAGCCAAGGCCCAGCTTGGATAGATATCCTACACACGTGGTTGCGCTTTTTCAGGGACCTTGACGGAAACAATCAAGAAAAAAGGAAGGCCACGCATTTTCGGGGCCTCCGTGTTTTCGACACATATATCAGGGAAAATCAAGGGCACACCTGGGTATGTTATGTTCTTCAAGGCCCTTACGGTGGGGATATGTCCCTCGCAACTGAGGGCTGTGAGGAAACAAAACACCCGCCAGTTGACGCGTTTTAGGTGGACGACATCTTCAAGCGCAGCTTGTTGGAGGACATCTTGCCCACCGCAGCCCCGGAGTTCTACAAGACCACGGAGGACGGGGACGTGGCTTAGCGAGCGGAAGGATGGTCGAAACAGCTCTCCCAAACGATGCCTCCAGGTGCACAGTCTGTGTTGTTGCTGTATTGTTTTGATATATACATATATATATATATATATATTATATCAGGCATATGTATACATGCTATGTTGTATTGCCTTCAGGCGGCAAATGGAAACCATCAATGGGTATCTTTGTGAATATTTAACATATGTATGAATGATAGTGTATATACACGTGTATGTGTATGTGTATGTATGTTATGAACTACGTAGATATCCAGGGCGCCTTCTTCAGGGGCACCTCGAAGAGGAGCCAGCCAGTTAATTCCGCGCAGGATGGCATGGCCTTCCGGATCTACCGGCACCTCGGCCCTTGCGAGGCTTCGGAGCCAGCTCTCGTTTGTTGGGTGACTCATGGTGAGTCTGTTCCACGGCTTCAGGGCTAAAGCGATCTCACCATGGGTCTTTCACCTGGGAGGGTCCTTTGTTCAGGTTTCGGATTTGTAGAGTGTGCGGGTTTGTGGATCTATGGGGTTTTGCTTGGCTCAAGGTCACCACTCAGCCTGGTTGGCCGATTCCCGAATACTATTGGTTTTGGTTGTGTGCCTGAATCAGTAGGAACAAATGCGGACCCACAAAGTCGGACCCACCTCATATTAGCCACAATATTCGGGTTGACGTGGGGAAGCCCCATATATGTTCATATTAGGTCCATATAAGCTACGTCCGACTTTCTGGATCCAAGGCGGGCCCCTTTGACTGAATTATGAGCACACCATGCCATATGCCACATGTATTTTGACATTGGTTGGCCTGGCCTTGACACCTTTGAGGGATTTCTGATCCCTGGCCGATTGCGGAACGCCGGGGCTTGACAAAAGCTGGAAACAAATCAGGGGCCTTCAGTCAGGTGTGCGGTCATCCAGGGGTATCCAGTCAGTTTCCATTGGAGGGTACAACTGACCGGCCGATTTCTTTAGTTCCCCAATCTCAGAGTTCCTCTCCTAGGGCGCGAATTTTAAAGTGGCAAACAGCTCTTGCTTCTCACTTGAGTGTGTCTTGTATTTGAAGGTACACCCTCTGAAGGGAAACCACAAGGAATCCCTCCCATTGGGTCCCCTAGTTTGAGACAAACCCTCTTCCGCCCTTTCTTTTCTTGCCGAATCTCGCGTGATTGCGGCAGGGTCCGCTTTCCGTTCGTGCTGAAATGGGTTTGCCGGCAAGAATTCTTGGTGGTCCTGTAAAACAGCCTTTTCGAGCGTAATAGCTCAACAAAAATCTATACTTTTGGTGGAGTGTTTTGGTCTCGTGTTTGCATACGTGGACGGATTTCCCTACATTATTGTCCTTTCCTCCCTTGCCCAAGGCCGACCTCTTGAATTTTGGTTTCCCCTTTTTAATTCCCCCAACTTTGAGGCCAACCTGGTGTTTCTGGGTCCTGGCAACCGAGGTTGAAGTCACCCACGGATGTTCATGTACTGAGGCTCGGACGCTTGGAGGTGCGCACAGTGCAAGCGCCTGGAGAGGACGAGTTGGAGCCGCGGTCAAATGGCCAGGGATGTGTCTCTGGCCTTTGAAAGCTCAAGCCAGGGAAGAGAATTCGCTTTGAACATTGTTTTTGCTTGGTCTCCCTTAAATCTTCCTTAGTTTCGCTTGGTCTCCTTTCAAGGACCAGCAATTCTATATGGGAGTTCGGAGCAACCCTGGCCAGAACCCAGTTCAGTGGAGTTCCTCTCTTCCTGCAAATGGCAGTTTTTAGAGACTTAGAGTGACTAGTCACCAGGGATCCATGGCTCCGGGGCTGACCGCTTTGTTTTGCCCCACCCCCCGACCCCCCAACCCAAGACCCAAGCTGGCAGGACCAGGAGATCCTGGCAGTTTTCTCCCTGCGCCCCGTGGACCTTCCCAGCCACGGAGGCGTTGGCGCGGCCAGGAAGGGCTCCCAGCAAGCTCTTTACGTGAGGTTTACGTGGTTGTTGGGACACATTTTACATTTTTGCCTTTTGTGGTTTGGTTGAAATCCCCACTTAGCTGCTTAAAGTTTCTTTTTTGCTCCCCTGCCAGAGTCAACCAAGTTTAAACCCCACAAACAGGGCAAGTATGGGGCACACCAGGGGTGAATCGGATGTACAGAAGTGAAGCAAGTTCAGTCAATCTCAGGGTGATCTGATCCGGAAGCATGTCAAGCATACTGGAATTCACTATGCCAGAGAAGTTCGGCTTCCAGGGACGGGAGATGGGCACATTCAAGATTCCGCGCGCACAAGCATGGTTTGTAATGAAATACAATAAGACAACAAGTGCGTGCTTCTGTTTGTGTTCTTTGCTA